TCCTGGATACAATTTTTGAGGCACAGTCTCATATAACTCAGGCCATGTATACAACTCCTAATCCTCCTGCTCCTATTTCCCATGTGCTGAGGTTACAGACATGTACCATCACACACAGTACCAGATACAGTATTCATTTTTCTCTCTTTCCAGAATTCTGACATGTGGTAACTATAAAGCTCCTTGGTCTTCTGAATTTTAACTTAGTTTGTCCACCATGGCTAAAGGCCACATAAAGAAAGGTAAAATTTAGGTTCACAATTGCTGGGCTCTCAAATCTCCTCAGGTACTTCTTTTCTTCAACTAAAGATCTCCATATTTCATTTTTTAAAAAAACCATTCATTACATGATCTGTCATATATTTTCCTTTGAGTTCTTCATGTATTCCTTGTGGCTTCCTTATACTTACACCACAGTGACACACCTTTCAAATTCACCTTCTTCATATAGTCTCCAATGAAGTGCCTCATTTGAGAGCTGGACTAACTCAACAAACTATAAAACCTCAATATAGTATTCATTGGGTACTCACTAGCTGGGAATATTCCTATCGAACCATTAGTGAACTACTAATAGTAAATCATTTTTACCCAGAAAAGTACACTTACAGGATAGTTAAACAGACCAAACTATGGATACCACCTAAGTCCAACTTGGTCAACTAAGGAGTTTAATGGGAGTAACTTACAAGAGCCAAAATTACTTAAAGACATTGACATCACCAAAAGCTATCCCAACAGGGGAAACAGTTCAAAACAACTGGAAACTTGGAGCACACTAACTTGTTGGTCTGAGCCTCTTCCACCAAGTTGAGCTAGTCTCTGCTTTTTCCAGGCATCTCAATTGTCTGAAGACGTCTCTTAGCAGTCTCTACAGCTTATATATACTAAGGAAGAATAGACCCTAGTAAATCGAGTCAGTTTCAGGGATGTCCTAAAGCTATTAAATCATTAAACTTTCTCGTCTAGATGAACTTCCTCTTGTTTTACCTCCCTTTTGATAGCTTATTTTGTAACAAGCTTCCCTCAAAGATCGAAGATTTTTATCTCAGAAAAAAAAATCACTACACAACAAAGTATCAGAAAACTGTTTTCTAGACCTGACTTTTCTATTAACTTGCTACACGGTCTTAGGAAAATAATTTATTTCTTGACCTCAGTTAATTTGAGTATAAAAATGAGAAATTAAACTAGATGTTACATATGGGTTTTTCAATAATTCCCCTACTAAAGCTCCAAGATCTAGTATTCCTAGAAAATATTAACTGTCTTTCCAAAGTATTTATCAAAGTTCTTTATACTAGAATGATCTGGAATATTTGATCAAATACAAATTATTAGGCAGTATTTCTGTATTATAGCCTTCTGGTGTAAAGCCCACAGTCTGGCTTGTAAACACCAAACACTGAGAATCACTGATATTAACATGTGACTTAAATGAAATACTACTCAATAGGCCATAATCAAAGCTGCTAGAATATCCCGTTTGGGAGATGTGCTACAATAAAGCATAAAATAACAACAAATTAATTTCTTCAAACATATAATTAAGAGGATGTAGAAACAAACAAATCAAACAATAGCTCTTTTAAATATGAGAATTGTCATATGCACTGTGTATTTTAAGTTGAGTTAATTCATTTACTTCTAAAATATATAAAAAATGCCAAACTTAATATCCAGAGTCAAGTCTTTACTAGTCTTCCGTGTACAAAGCATGAATTATTTTTAACTTAAAAGAGAGTAAACAGGAAAAGGTCTCTAACTCAAGAGATATGCAGTCATTTTGCCCTTGCTTTAAAACCAAATACATTACTCTGCTGTTTCCAGATTTCATTTCCTCCTATTTAATATAATTGCTAAAATGCTTGAATATCTGTTTTTCTAAGTTTGAGCAGGAAGTTAGAAAACAATATAAACAGGAAAGGTGACAACACTAAGGACAAAAATAAAATGCAGCTGTGGGAGAAATAATAAATGCTTTTTCTGAAAACAAAAATTTACCAAGGAAAGGAACTATTCTGTTCAAAATCTTTAATATTATAGGAAAATATGTAATACATTTTAGAAACTTGATCCCCTACATGAAATTGTAAAAGCTTTAAGACTTGAAGAGATGATGTTCATTCATTTAGAATTTCTACCTCATTTAGAACACCTATGTTAGCCCAGGGAAATCAGACTCAAGGAATCAAATATGCCAAAATTCTATAAACATAAGTCCATTATCCTTTAACCCCAGAGATTATTGTGAAATGCTGATAAAAGATAGAACAAGACATACAGAGACAAAATGTAGAGCAGAGACTGAAGGAAAAGCCATCCAGAGACTGCCTCACTTGGGGATCCATCCCATATACAGACAACAAACCCAGACACTATTGCTGATGCCAAGAAGTGCATGCTGACAGGAGCCTGATACAGCTGTCTCCTGAGAGGCTCTGCCAGAGCCTGACAAATACAGATGCAGATGCTCACAGCTAACCATTGGACTGAGCATGGGGTCCTCAATAGAGGAGTTAGAGAAAGAACTGAAGGAGCTGGAGGGGTTTGCAAATCTCATAAAAATTTACAAGCCCATAGGAATCCCAACCAGATCCCCCAGAGTTCCCAGGGACTAAACCACCAACCACAGAGTACACATGGGCAATACCAAGGAATAAAATAACTCAGAATCTAAAAGATAAATATTAGTTGTTTTCTTTTATATGTGGAATCTATATTTTAAAATACATGAAAGCAAAAGAGATTCCATTTGTGAACGAGAAAAGGAACTGGTAAGAAGAGATGCAAAGGAGCAGGATACAGCAATGGAGGTGATAAACAATATACATATATATATATATATATATATATATATATATATATATATATTTATGAAAATGTGATAAATAATTCTTTTAAATATATGCTAATAAAATGAAAGCAAAAAACAAAATAAATGAAAATCAAAATGAAAGCAGTTTAAATAACTGTTTCAAGTAAAAGTAATATAACAATACTAAAGTATTCCTAGCCTAAGGAGTCCTTCCTAGCAGTGATAGTACACATATGACATAAGAATTTGGTATGTCTCAGAGAACATTAAGAAAAGGGGACAATAAGATTGTAAAATCCAGAATACTAGGAAGTCTGATGTGAAAAGTTTGTCCTAAAAGTGGCTACATAAATAAGACCAGAATAGCAGTATCTATGGACATGACAATGTAAAAGGAGAGGGGAATTTCAAGGGGCCACATTCCTGAACAAATAACTACAGGCAACTGAAGACTCCTGACAGCGGAAGAGTTAGGCTTTCCTATGGATGAGCCCTCTAATTGGTTGTCCAACACAAAGTGAAACCATATATAAACAATAAAACAGACTAAGCAGGTTGTATTTATATACTTGTGCACACACACACACACACACACACACACTAATAGGGAAGAAGAGGCTATCAATTTGAGAAAAGGGATGTGAAAGAGTTGGAGTGAGGGGACTTGGGAAAATGTGGAAAATAGAAAGTAATGTAATTATATTTAAACTAAAATATTTTAAAACAAAAATAAAACAAACATGCTTTATATCACTAAGCATAAATTAGTAAACCTGAAAAAAGAAGGTAATAAATGCTGAAGAACAAGTTTGAGCAGGAAGACTAAGAAATAAGGTTAAGAAAGTGAGTTCAGGAGTGCTGATTTTACTCTCAAGGCAAGAAGATGGCATTAATTCTTCAAACATATGATTTAACTTGCATTATAGAAGAAACAGAATAGAGATGGATGAGAATGAAATTTTAGGCAGTAAGTTAACTAGAAGCTCTTGTTGGAGTGTAAGTGGAAAACAGCATTTAAGTAAACTAGGCTAGTAAAGGAAAATAAAGTAATCCAAGAGACATGAAGGGTAAAAATTGCAGATTTGGTAAAGTGCTTCAATTTGGAGAGGAAAGGTAGAAATTGGCAAAGATGACTATAATTTTCTGGCTTAAACAACTGGGTACATGGTAGCATTACAAACTGAAACATGAAAAAGAGAAAAAGAATGTTTTCTTTTGTTTACTCTTAGGGAAAGGATGAGAAAGGATACTTCAGATAGGCTTAGTTTGAGGAGTTTGTGGAATACCTAAGACAACATGTCAAAAAAAAAAGGAGGATATAGATATAAAAGAAATCAGAAATGGAAAGGAAAATGTAACACTGACATTTATGTTATGCTACTATGTTCCTTTTAATTTCCTCCTTTCTGTATGTTGCTGTCATTACCCACTTAATTTCCTCTTGACAGCAAATCATTTTCTCAAAGGACATTGAGTGATGTTGTACTTTAGAGAACCTAACCTAAACACACAAGAAGTGTGTCAAAGATAAATCAAAGAAAGAATTATATTTATACTATGGACATATTTATATATGTTTATATATGCATGTTTCATTTCATGACAGGAAGAAGTTAAGGGAGAAAAATCCATTAAATATTGCTACTTGTTACTAAAGAAATTGAGTAACAGATGTATAAGATTGTTCACTTGACCAACAGAATTAACATTAACCATCTTAGTCACAGAAGTTGCCTTCGAATCTTGTAGTCAGAATGTCAACATCAATGAGAATGGGTGAGAGGAATATATAGATAATAAGAATATTACTTCTGCAAGAAATATGGATATGAACATGGGAAAAGGCTTGAAAATTTTTCTACAAGGAAGATATTTAAGATAAGAGATTAATGATAATGTTTAAATGCTAAATAGACATGAATTCCAAAAGGGGTCAGGTTAAGAATCTAAGAGATAATTGATAAAATTAATAACACAATATCATCTTTAGAGTCATCCAAGAGGAACTTCAAATTTTCTTTCAAAAGTAACAGTTTGATCTGATGCTTTGTTTTGTCTTGTTTTCCAAATGCAATATAACATATGAGTATCAGTGATCAAAGTATTTTAGGGCCTCCGTGGAAAAATAGGGAGGTAAGCATTCATATCATTACATATTTTTCCCAGGACTAAGTTTTCTTACCCTCCAATATCTTGCTTCACAAAGTCTCCAGGTTCTTGTCGTCTTGATTCTCCTTGGCCAGTGATTCCAGGAAGAATACTAATCAGAAGAAGAAGTCCAACTCTGGACACATAGAAGTGCCACATTTGTGTGATTATCATCTTCTTAGACAGCAACTTAGAGAGACCTGTGAGATCCACAGTACAGGGGAAAGGAACCAACAAAAGGGTAGAAAACAAAGGGGGAAAAGAGGGTTAAAAAGGTTTGAAATTTGTCTAATATTCACTCAGTTATTTGATACTCCCAACCTAATCAAGGTCAAAATATACATTCCCAATATGTATATTCTTCTGGACATACCAGAGTTCTCCCAAGAATAGTGAAAGGCAGAACAAATCTCATATAAGACAGACAATAATCAGCTGCATCTCTTTCCTTGGCTTCCTGCATGACTGGGTGAGCTGTAGAACTTCCCTAAGCCTCAGTTAACTTTTGTACTATAAGAGCTTAAAATGGTCTCCTATGAAGCTACAGAGATGGTCCAGGGCTTAAGGTACTCTTTCAGAGGATACATGTTCAACACTCAGTACCCACAAGGTAGCTCACAACTGTCTATAAAACTCAGTTCCAGGGTCTCTGCCATCCTCTTTTGACTTCTGTGCACACCAGGCATGTACACAGTACACAGACATACATGTAGGCAAAAATACTCATAAAATACAATAAAAATTACAAATAATTTTTTAAAGACAGTTTCTCATGTCACCATTCTATTTTGCTGAATAACTTGTTTGAGCTTTCACAACACAGAGGACTTTGGTCTAGTTAACTATATAACTGCAAAAATTCTACAATAGTAAGATCTAAACATCTCTTTATAGCATTGTAAAGATTGTTTCACATCTTACAAGACATAAACAATTTTCTAAAATATTACAAGCCTTGAGCAGACGTTCCCCAGGTAGGAAAAAATGCTGAGTGATACAATATGATGTCTTGAATATGAATGTATCTCCCTATAAAGACTCAAGGACAGGTCAACTCCTTTAGGCAGGGGTAACAACATAATAGAAATATAAGCCTAGCTCTACATTATAGACATTCTTCAATCATCGAATTATACCAATGATTAAAATTAGTGATTTGGAGTATGTACAGAAGACAAGAATTGTTTCATGGACTCTATATGATAAAAAATGTATACAAGATATGGGGTTAATAAAACAGCCAATTGAATTGTACTTATTTTACTTTAAGACATGAAGCATTCCAGACCAAAGCTAAACTTTTCAAGTCATATTAGTAGATTAATTTTCAGAGACAACAGAAGTATATGAAACATTTTTCAAGGAAATCTTAAGTAAAAGACCTATCCATAAAAGATACCTCATCTGAAGAAATATTCTGATATACTTGTCTGCCTAACGAGTGCTGGGATTAAAAGCATGCATAACTACTGCCCAAGGAATAAAGTTCCTTTTAAATATACTCTATCCTTATGAAGAGAGCCATTAGATCCTATATTAGGCTGTCTGTATGGATCTGGTACAGCTATATGAAGAATCATACTGTTGTGTGATTCTGATATGATCCAATGTATACATCAGAAATGATAATCATCATGTTAATAGCATTTAGCATGATACTGGTAAATTCAAACATTTCTATTTCACAAAGCACTATTTCTTGAATTAAATTTACATAGTTGGCATACAATTAGTGATTCATGAACTGTAGAAGAGTTGTTGGCCACTTTATATGAATGATCATACCACATAAGTAATAAAATATACCTACACAATTAGACAACTCTAGGTATAGACAACATCCATGGTATATGTTCAAATGTCCAGAAGGTCTGAGCACTCTGTAATGATTTATGATCATATGAAAAAGAATAATACTTGTATAATCATAATATATGATTTGATAGCTGCTCCATAAGAACAGACATCATTGATAACAGAAAATAAGGTCCAGAATGTACAAATAAAACACAGAATAAAAAACATAAACACATGACCATGATGTATGTTCAGGATGCATGAGCAACAATCTTGGTTAAAGAGAAGATTAACATTTTACACAATTGAAAATGTCAATGATCAATTTTTGAATATCATATTCTTGTATATAAGTATAGGATATGTATAAATGATCTTAAGTGCTCGCTTCGACAGCACATATACTAAAATTGGAACATACCAGAGAAGATTAGCATGGCCCATCTGCAAGGATGACACACAAATTTGTGAAGCGTTCCATATTTTTAGTTGGTCTGCTCCTGTGAAGCCACCATCCTGAGTCATCCTATAGGAACCAGTGCACTCAGGACAGAGAAGGAAACACTGTACTCAGAGCAGCAGGATTTCAGGATCCCAGAGGCAGCTTGAGTCCCAGCAGTTCTTCCACTCAGGAGCTCAAGATCACAGGATCACAGATATATCTGGACTCTGAGGAGTTCTGACACAAACAAGATAACTGGAAAGACAGACTGCAGTCAGAGACAGTGAGTGTAGGTAAAACTAGAGTTAACCAGATGGCAAAAGGCAAGCTCAAGAACATAAGCAACAGAAACCAAAGTTACTTGGCATCATCAGAACACAGTTCTTCCATCATAGCAAGCCCTGGAAACCCAATCACACTGGAAAAGCAGGATTCAGAATTAAAATCACTTCTCATGATGATGATAGAGGACTTTAAGAATGACATAAGTAACCCCCTTAAAGAAGTACAGGAGAACACAGGTAAACAGATAGAAGCCCTTAAAGAGGAAACACAAAAATTCCTTAAAGAACTGCAAGAAAACACAACCAAACAGGTGAAGGAATTAAACAAAACCATCCCCAAGACCTAAAAATGGAAGTAGAAACAATAAAGAAATCTCAAAGGGAGATAACCCTGGAGATCGAAAACCTAGGAGAGAAATCAGGAGTCGTAGACTCAAGAATTACCAACAGAATACAAGAGATAGAAGAGAGAATCTCAGGTGCAGAAGATACCATGGAAAACATTGGCACAACTGTCAAAGAAAATACAAAATGAAAAAAGCTCCTAACCTGAAACATCTTGGAAATCCAGGACACAATGAGAAGACCAAACCTAAGGATAATAGGTATAGCTGAGAGTAAAGATTCCCAAATTAAAGGGCCAGTAAACATCTTCAACAAAATTATAACCTAAAGAGATACCCATGAACATACAAGAAGCCTAGAGAACCCCAAATACACTAGACCAGAAAAGAAATTCCTCCCATCACATAATAATCAAAACATCAAATGCACAAAACAAAGAAACAATACTAAAAGCAGTAAGGGAAAAATGTAAAGTAACATATAAAGGCAGACTTATAAGAACTACAACAGACTTCTCAACAGAGACTATAAAAGCCAGAAGAGCCTGGACTGACATCATACAGACCCTAAGAGAACAAAATTGCCAGCCCAGACTACTATACCCAGCAAAACTCTCAATTAACATAGATGGAGAAACCAAGATATTCCATGACAAGACCAAATTTACACAATATCTTCCCACAAATCCAGCACTTCAACGGATAATTGATGGAAAACTCCAAGACAAGGAGGGAAACTACAACCTAGAAAAAGCAAGGAAGTAATCTTCCAACAACCCCAAAAGAAGATAGCTACACAAACATAATTCCACCTCTAATAACAAAAATAACAGGAAGCAACAATCATTTTTCTTTAATATCTCTTAACATCAATGGACTCAATTCCCCAATAAAAAGATGTAGACTATCAGACTGGATACATAAACAGGACCCAGAATTGGGTCCAGAATGTATTTTGCTGCATACAAGAAACGCACATCAGTGACAAAGACAGACAGTACCTCAGAGTAAAAGGATGGAAAACAATTTTCCAAGCAAATGGTCCCAAGAAACAAGCTGGAGTAGCCATTCTAATATCAAGTAAAATCGACTTTCCACCAAAAGTAATCAAAAAAGATAAGGAAGGACACTTCATACTCATCAAAGGAAAAATTTACCAAGATGAACTCTCAATTCTGAACATCTATGCTCCAAATGCAAGGGCACCTACATACATAAAGGAAACTTTACTAAGCTCGAAACACACATTGCATCTCACACAATAATAGTGGGCGATTTCAACACCTCACTCTCAGGAATGGACAGATCATGGAAACAGAAACTAAACAGAGACACAATGAAATTAACAGAAATTATGAACCAAATGGTTTTTAACAGATATCTATAGAACATTTCATCCTAAAACAAAAGAATATAGCTTTTTCTCAGCACCTCATGGTACCTTCTCTAAAATAGAACATATAATTGGTCACAAAACAGGCCTCAACAGATTAAAAAAAAAATGGAAAAAATCCCTTGCATCCTATCAGATCATCACGGACTAAGACTAGTCTTCAATAATGACAAAACCAATGGAAAACCCATATACACGTGGAAACTGAACAATGTTCTACTCAATGATGAGTTGGTCAAGGAAGAAATAAAGAAAGGAATCAAAGACTTTTTAGAATTCAATGAAAATGAGGACACATCATACCAAAACTTGTGGGACTCCATGAAGGCAGTGCTAAGAGGATAACTCATAACTCTAAGTGCCTATAGAAAGAAACTGGAGAGAGCATACACTAAAACCTTTACAGCATACCTGAAAGCTCTAGAACAAAAAGAGGCACATAAACCCAAGAGGAGTAGATGGCAGGGAATAATCAAACTCAGGGCTGAAATCAGCCAAGTAGAAACAGAAAGAACTATGCAAAATATCAACAAAACCAGGAGCTGGTTCTTTGAGAAAATCAACAAGAGAGATAGACCCTTAGCCAGACTAACCAGAGGGCACAGAGACAATATCCAAATTAATAAAATAAGGACAAGTGAATCATAGGCAGAGTCATAGTGACCTATCCCCTGAACCTTCACCCAGCCGATACCCTGTTCTGAAAGATATCTGTATTCCCCCTGAACACTCAGGCTCCAGTGTCATCTCCTTCCCCACGTCCTGCCTTTCTGTGTTTATAACCCCTGTGTGAATGAATTACGATTTGAAAAAAATAAATAAATTATTTTTAAAAAAGAGAAAGAAAAGAAACTCAGTGTCCATGATTGGGCAACCATGGTCAATTTTTTCACTAGTGAAGATAGCCAAGATACACATTAAAAGTGGCTGTAGTGAACAATGAT